GAAGATGTTCTCTGTCTTTGTTCCTCTCTATAAATCTTTCAATAAAAATAAATCTTTTAAAACATAGAATAGGTGGTTTCTTAGACTCAAAGCTTAAGTGTGAAGTGCTGCATGGGATGGTTCATGTCATTGTGCTCTGTATTTGTGAGCAAGCTATTCTACTTTTGATGAGTACAATAGCATCTTTATGATCTGTGAGAAACAAAGGGCGAAATTTTTTTTTAAGATTTATTTTTATTATTTTTTATTGGAAAGGCGGATATACAGAGAGGAGAGACAGAGAGGAAGATCTTCCATCCGATGATTCACTCCCCAAGTGAGCGCAATGGCTGATGCTATGCCGGTCCGAAGCCAGGAGCCTCTTCCGGGTCTCCCACGCGGGTGCAGGGTCCCAAAGCTTTGGGCCGTCCTGGACTGCTTTCCCAGGTCACAGGCAGGGAGCTGGAAGGGAAGCGGGGCTGCCGGGATTAGAACCGGCGCCCATATGGGATCCCGGGCGTGCAAGGCGAGGACCTTTAACCACTTGCGCCACCGCGCCGGGACCCAAAGGGCGAAATTTATGATACGCATGTATATAAAGAAAACAGCTTTTCCGCTCTGTTAACAGTTTCTAGCAAGCAGATACGACCTTTGATGCCTAAAATAATTACAAGGATAGGAGATTGGGGGGGGGAAAAAAAACCTCTCTGTGAGAATTCTCTGAAATCCGTGAGATAGTAATCAGATCTAAAATGAATTGCTCTTTCTTCGAATGTGTGTGTGCTTGTAGTACTCAGAATGCCTTTCTTGTTTTGGCATTTCTCATTCTCTTAAATTATGACTTAGATTGATTTAGTCTGTAGAATGTATTGGAGACCAATATCCTTTCACAGCAACATGAAAAGCCATTTAATGATGGACTTTAAGATAGGAACATAACCCTGAAGGAATTTGGCCAAAGTGATACAGACTGGCCTGGATTCGCACTCTTTGGGCCGACTGCGCAGCAGCTGACCATCCCTCACAGGACATTCTGTAGGGGTGGTTATGTGCGTGCAGGCGTCGGCCTTGACTCAAAGCTCTGGAGATAAGACAGTCGTAAGAATCCTCAGTGCCGGGCCCGGCGCGGTGGCACAGTGGTTAAGGTCCTCACCTTGCACGCCCGGGATCCCATATGGGCGCGGATTCTAATCCCGGTAGCCCCACTTCCCTTCCAGCTCCCTGCCTGCATCCCGGGAAGGCAGTCGAGGACGGCCCAAAGCCTTGGGACCCTGCACCCGCGTGGGATACCTGGAGGATGTTCCTGGATCCTGGCTTCGGATCGGCATAGCATCGGCCGTTGCACTCACTTGGGGAGTGAATCATCAGACGGAAGATCTTCCTCTCTGTCTCTCCTCCTCTCTGTATATCTGACTTTCCAATAAAAATAAAATAAATCTTTAAAAAAAGAATCCTCAGTGCCAGGAGATTGTAGGAATTGGCTCCTAGGAATGTTTTAATTGCCTGTATTTGGGGGGCAGGGTGAGATAGGGAGCACCCCCATTGGCTGATTTAGCCCTCGGGTACTTGGAACAGCTAGAGCTGGGCTAGAGTGATGAGAGGAGTTGGCTTACTCAAGCCGTCAGCACTGTATCCCGGAATATACGTTAGCAGGAAGAGCTAGATATTCTGATGTGGGGTCTGGGTACCTTACCCTGTGGGCTAGTAACCTTGAGAATTTCAATTTCATTTCGTTTTATTATTTTATTTATTTTGTGGTAGCGAGAAAGAACCATTTGTAGTGTGACTGCCACGTGCCTACAGCTGGAGGCGAAGCATCAAACTCGATACAGGTGTCTCATGTGATGGCAGGAACCTGCTTGCTTGAGCAGTCGCCTGCTGCCTCCTGGCTGTGCGTTAGCAGGAAGCCGGGAGAAGAAACAGAACAGTACAGGACTTGAACTCAGATACAGGATATAATTATGGCAACCCAAGCCCCGTGTCATCAAATGCCTGCCCACCCTGAGAGCTTGAATAGGCTCAGCAGTGTTGAAACATTTGAAAATAACTTCCAAAGTATGTTATTTTAGAATAAGAAAAGTTTATTTACATTGGGTTTAACTTCCTGTAGTATATTATTACTTACATCCTGTAAGTGATAAGTAACAACTTTGACAGGCCTTATAATTTACTATATTAATAACTCCCCAAACTGTCATTTTGAAGCAGAATGTTACTTTTGTACTGTATCATAAACAACATCATAATTATAAAAGGGTGTGGTAAGAATGTAATCTCGGGTCCGGCGCAATGGCTCAGTAGCTAAATCCTCAACTTGCAAGCGCCAGGATCCCATATGGGCACCAATTCGTGCCCTGGTTCCTCCACTTCCCACCCAGCTCCCTGCTTGTAGTCTGGGAAGGCAGTAGAGGACGGCCCAAAGCCTTGGGACCCTACACCTGTGTGGGAGACCCGGAGGAAGCTCCTGGCTTTGGATCAGCTCAGTTCCAGCCATTGCAACTACTTGGGGAATGAACCAGCAGGTGGAAGTTTTTTGTCTCTGCTTCTCTCCAAAAAAATCTGACCTACTATTCCAATAAGAATAAATACATTTTTAAAAATCTAATCTCTTTAGGGGATTGGGATTACTCTGATCCGTTTTTTAAAAAAATTCTTTTGACATTTTCAAATATATTCTTCGCTCTGATGAAATTTGTGTGAAATTTCCATGTTTTATCTTCTGATCTGATGACTATACAATTTGGAGTCTGTTTAACATTCACTGTGGGAAGTGTGTAGGGAGTGTGGCAATATATCCTTTCGTGTTTTCCGTGACTTGATCAACATTAGACAAAAAAAAAAAAAAAGGCAAAGAGTGATTTGATGCTGAACCACGCTTGAAAACTATTATCTGGGAGCCATTTATTCTACAGATATTTATGCCAAGAACTTTTCTGAGTGCTGGGGATTTAGTAGTGAACAGACAGAGCTCACCTACCAACTCTTACCCAGGAAGTCCTGGGGGCTGTCCTGGGACTGGGGAGTCCCTTGGCCTCCTTGTGCCAGGTCAGAGCTAGCAGACAGCGCCTTCCGTGCCCTTCCTGGGCCAGTTGTCCAGTTTGTACTCCAGGCCCCTAGAAGACCAGGTGCAGCGTGAGTGTCCCATTAAGCATGTGTTAACTGAATCAGAGCCAAATGAAGTGTTTGTCACCTCTGTAGACTGTGTCATTAGCTTCCCATCCGGTGTCCCTGCCCCGCTCCTTACTCTTTACCACTCCAGTCTGTTCTTAACATAACAGACCATAGGATCTTGTTACTACTATGTTGCTTTCCCTCCAAACCCTCCAGGAGTCTCCATTTGTCCAGAGGAAAGGTGAACTGTGACTAGAGGAAAGGAGCTGTGACTCACAAGGCCCCAGGGCCTAGCTTCCTGCTGTCCTTCCTGCTTCCGCTCAGGTGGTCAGATCTCCCTACCTGCTTCTCAGACTCCACAGCTAAGGGTGGGAGGCGTTGGTCTCAGGGGTTATGAAGCTGCTGGGGGCTCCCTGTTGGAATATCTGGGTTGAGTCCCAGCACCTTAGCCAACCCATCAGTTTTGCTGCTGACGCGTACCCTGGGAGGCAGTGGCCAATAGTCCAAGTTCTTGGGTTCCTTACGACCAACGTGGGAGAGTCAGACTGAGTTCTAGGCTGCGGACTCACTGTTGCAGACATCTGAGGATCGAGCTGGCGGATGAAGCGCTGTCTACCTCCACCTGTTTTTCTGTCTTCCTGCCTTTCGAGTCAAATGAAAAATCATTGAAAAAAAAAAATCCTCAGGGGCCAGCATGGTGGCTTGACAGGCTGATCCTCCTCACGTGGTGCCAGCATGCCGCAGGGGACCAGTTCTAGGCCCAGCTGCTGCATTTTCCATCCAGCTCCCTACTGACGGCCTAAGAGAGCAGCCGACGATGGTCCACGGCCTTAGGCTTTGCATCCAAATGGGAGATTTTGCATCTGTCAAACTGGCCATTACAGTCATTTGGGGAGTCTCTCTCTCTCTCTCTCTCTCTCTCTCTCTCTCTCTCTCTCTCCCTTCATCTCCCTCTTTTATTTATTTAAAATAAGTAAATTAAAAAAAAAACCTTCCCAGCAGCCATGTTCCCATCCCGGAGCCCTCACCCCTGTGGAGTGCATGTGCATAGCGGTGGTAACCAGATGCTTGATGTTTGCGCTGAAGACCGTGCCGTTTCAGGTCAAGGAGGGACCCTTTGTCTGACATCACTTGCTGGAAATGTCCTAACTGTTCCATCGTTCCCACTGCCCAGTAACTCTGCAGTTGCGTTTTTTTTTCTAAGCAAAGGCTTCGTTGTGTTTCATCCCCTAAGGTACTTGCCACTGAGGGAGGATGCAGGAGTTGAACAGAATAGGAAGAACTTTTGTTGGAGGTGTATCATTCTGGTTACGTACAGGAGAGGTTGGGCAGTTGACCAGACCTTCTGTCACCTGTTCAGCTGATTTTGAATCTCAGTTTCACGTGTTGAAGCATCATAGCGCCCAGTGAATTATGCAGCAGCACATTGTACAGGTGAGGCAACCGTGGCTTAGAGAGGCAGAGCAGCATGACCAAGGCCACGCGACAAAGTAATGATCAGTATTCAGCATCAGGATTTTCCAGAGAGGCTGATGTGAGACCTGTGCAGCAGAGGAGGGAAGAGGACTAAGGCTGATGTTAAGGAAATGACAGTATTACGGAGGCAGCAGTCCCCAAACCCAGGAAGAGCCAAGGGGTAGTGGCAAGTCTGAACGTCTTCTGGCGGTCCTCAAACTCAGCCTTACTCTCCGGTGACTTTTGCCCCCTTTAAGCTCGCCAGCCTGCTACTTGGCAATGCTAAATGGAGCGTCGTCATGAGTTCCGCAGGAGGCTCACAGTGGAAAGTGCTTAAGTTGCTGAGGTGTCACATTAGGGCTAAAGCTGAGACTGGAGTTTTCAGAAAGAAGTGAGCGAGTGAGTACCGCGCGAGACAAGTGCGGACGACACAGGGTGGTAGCCGAAAGGAATCTGTGTTGTCAACACGTGCTTTGTTTTATTGGGTCCAACTGGTTCCAGCATCCTGTATGGCAGTTTGAGTCTTGATTGCTTCACTTCTGGTCCAGCTCCTTGTTTAAAACCTGGGAAGTCAGTGGAAGATGGCCCAAGTACTTGAGTTCCTGTGCCCACATGGGACACACAGAAGCAGCTCCTGGCTGCTGGCGTTGGACCAGCCCAGCTCTGACTGTTGTAGCCATTTGAGGAATGCACCAGCAGGTGGAAGATTTCTCTCTATCTCTCCCCACCTCTTTCTCTGTAACTGTGCCTTTCAAATACATCAATAAACCTGAAAGAAAAATGGGCAGAATGAGCATCTGTACTACAATTGCTTTATCCTTCTCGGGCCCTTGAAGAAATACGCAGTTTCACAATGTGTGTGCTGCACAAGATTCTGTAGAAACTGAGAATTGCTCCGTAACTGAGTTGACCTCTGGAATAGTTTGGTCTTTGGACTCAGTCTTGACACTAGGGTTACTGGTGACAGCGAAGCCTTGGAGTAACCTTTTCCCTCCCTTGGACACCCTGTCTGCATTCGTTAAAACAGTGGTGCAGTGGGACGTATGATGTTAAAATTTAGTCAAGTGACGCAACTCTGGGAAGATTACCAAAGTGGCTACCCTGTGATCTGGTGGGAAAAAAGATCTCCGATACAGTATGCTCGACACAATACTTAGTCATTTCGTAATCGTTGAGTGTACTAAGCAACTTTTCATTAACTTAATCGGAGAAAGAAGCAGTCAATTTACTAGAGCTGCGTCATAAGTAAAGTTAAAATTCTGTCTTAAAAGCTGAATGTTGAAATCAGTGTTTGGGCTGGAGTCCTGGAATGTACCGGGATGCCATATGGATGCCGGTTGGTATCCTGGCAGCTCCGCTTCCCATCCAGCTCCCTGCTTGTGGCCTAGGAAAGCAGTCGAGGTTGGCCCAAAGCCTTGGGACCTTGTACCTGCATGGGAGACCTGGAAGAAGCTCCTGGCTCCTGCTTTCAGGTTGGCTCAGCTCTGGCCGTTGTGGCCATCTGGAGAGTGAGTCAGCAGACGGAAGATCTTCCTCTCTGTCTCTCCTTCACTCTGTCAATCTGACTTTGCAATAAAAAGAAACAAGTTTTAAAAAAGAAGAAGCAGCCAGTGTTTCGGTTGTGAACTAATTGTTAAGAGATAGTCGTTTGTAGTACAAATTAATGATGGAAAATCGTTTCTTAATCCTCTCGTTTAACTGACCTTTGGGACTCTGTTCTCAATGATCTATTTTATGATATACTCTGTCTTAATTTTGTAAGTTATGTTCTCGCTGCTGTAACAAAATGTCACAGAATGGGTTATTTATGAAAAACCGAAATTTGTTTTGCACAGTCCAAAATCGGAGTGCTGGTTCAGGATCTGTTGAACCAGGCTCTGTCTCGTATTGAATGATAGGGATCCGTAGTTGGGCAGCAACAGCCAGAGCCAAGCCAGTCTGAATCCAGGTTTTTCGGGGTCTCCCATGTGGGTGCAGGAGTCTAAGCACTTGGTCCATCCCCCACTGCCTTCCTAAGCACGTCAGCAGGGAGTTAGATTGAAAGTGAACCCTCCAGAACTCAAACTGGTGCCCATGTGGGTGATGGCTCCACAGGCAGCAGTTCTGCCCACTAGACCACAGCATCAACCCCACTCTTACACTTTATGAAGGGTAAAAGGATGCCACGTAGTAAAATCGGAATTTAGTGTTAAAAACACACAAACACCAACACGTACACATACGCAGTGAGTACATTTTGAGCTTATGTTTAGGTACGGGATATATGGCAGGTGGCCTATCAGAAGGCCTCAAGAAAAAATATTTGGAAAGGAACTGCAGTTTCTAAATCACAGGATTTGTATCATAACCCTGATTTTAAGCTGTGCAGTTGGTGTCTTCACTATTTTCTTTGCCTTCTCTAAATTTCCTCCCGTGAAGGTAAAATTGACATGTAGGAAGCTGCTCTTACTGAATTTTATATTATAAGCGTAGATTCATGACTGTCCCATCACACTCAAGAAAATGAACACGTTCCACTGAACTCTTCCTTCTTTCAGTCTGGGAACTTTTTGCCATCGAAGTGTGTAAGTAAACACCCAAACAGAGTCGGAGGAATGTTCTTAGGGTCTGGAACTGACCTACCTCCATCTCCCAGAGGCGACTTCTGGCCCTAGAATGTGCCCCCATCCTCTTCTCACCCAGACCTCGGTCTGCCCGGCACCCTCCTGAGTGGCAGTGGTGATCTTGTTCTGCGAATGGTTTATGGGCACGCTGTGACTTGCGGGGTTACAGCACCCTGAAGGTGTGCTTGGCCAGAGCGTCTGTGCTGAAAAACGACAACCTTTTCAAAGTTTCTATTCTGTCGTTAGCGGATTCTTATGTAAAAGACCGTGAAAATGGCTTCCTTAGAAACATGAAGTGAAAAAAAGTCCTGTCAGTGTGGCATCTCTGTTTTATATCTTTGGATTCAGCCTATATAAGCTTCTCTATAAAATTTTCTAAATGCTGACTTTGAATTTCTGCCCTGAATTTGTTTCAGACTGGTAGCAAACTTGTGGCGTTCACCCAGCCCCGGTCTCCTGTTTCCCATTTCATTCCTGCTGGACATGGTGAACTTTTGGCCATGTTTTCGTAGCTCTCCCTTTGAAATGTTCTGAACTTTGCTGGCTTAAGAACTGAAAGGAAGCTAAGAGCTGCTGGATACTTAATGATGGATCCACCAGTGTAGAGACTTTTATTTTAGTCTCAGCCAGTCCTCCAAGCAGTCCAGCAAAGTAAGGGATCTTTCTCCACTGCGGGGATGAATTAGCTCGCTGCTGTTCACATCTTAACTCCTGCTGTCGCTGGCTGCCTGCTCCGGACCCACCTTCTGTAGGCTCCTGGGGACACAGCAGCTGGCATGGCGCACGAGACACTGCTCTGGCAGTACTTCCATCTGTGCTGGAGCGGAGGCGAGAATCATAGATCAGTGAAACCTGTACAGTACCACTGACGGTGATGAATGATGTAGAGGGAAAATAGAGACGGGTGTGGGAATAGCAGGGGCGTACGTTGGATCGGCCTGCGTGTGACGTCCTCGCTCAGGTGACCTTGGAATGGAGTTCTAGGGGCTGAGGAAGTCAACAGCTGACAGAAGCGTCCAGGAACTTCAATCCCTGAGGTTAAACACCCCCTTTCTCGTGTCTTCTGCGATGCTTTGTAGTCTCCAGAAGGTGCCCGAGGGGTGGGCACTATGGCACTGTTGGCTGGCTGTCACGTGGGGGGGGTACTGCCACCCATGTCAGAGTGCCTGCCCCAAGTCCCAGCTTCTGGCCTTGCGAGCCCCCTCGCTGCCAATGCACCCGGGAGAGCGGCAGGTTCGGACTTAAGGACTTGAGTTGCTGTGAGCTGTGTGGAGTCGCAGGTGCAGTGTCTGGCTCCTGACTCTGGCCTGGTCCAGCCCCGGCTATTGTGGACGTGTTCAGAATGAACCAGTGGACAGAAGGTCTCTGTCTCTTTCTCAATCTGTCATTCTGCTTTTAACACCTTAAATGTAGGAATCAGTTTGAGAGCAGAAGATGCATTTTATGAATTAGGGAGACCAAATAGAATCTACTTTTTGCTTTGGATTAAGTCTGAATCTCTATTTTTACGTATCTGAAAGGCAGAGAAAAGAGAGAGAGGGTTTCCATCTGCCAGGTCATCAAATGGCTGCAACAATCAGATCTATTCAGGGTAAAGCCAGGAGCCAGGAGTCCCATGCTGTTCTCTTGTGTGAATGGCAAGGACCGCAGTGTCTTCCCCAGCAGGAAGCTGGATGAGAAGCAGAGCAGCTGGGACTGCAACTAGAGCTCCTGTTATTGATAACCCGTGTGCCACAGTGCCGGGGCCTCTCTCCCTTATTTTTATTTCTTTATTGGTATTTTTTTTTAATTGGAAAGGCAGTTGTATGGAGAGAAGGAGAGAACAGAGAGAAAGATCTTCCGTCTGCTGGTTCACTCCCTAAGAGGCCGCAGTGGCCGAAACTGAGTCAATCCAAAGCCAGGAGCCAGGAGCTTTTTCTCCCACACAGGTGCAGGATCCCAAAACTTTGGGCTGTCCTCTACTGCTTTCCCAGGCCACAAGCAGAGAGCTGGATGGGAAGTGGAGCTGCTGGGATACAAACCAGTGTTCAAATGGGATCCCTGTGCATAAAAGACAAAGACTTCAGCCATTAGTCTATGGCACCACCAGGCCTATTTTCATTTTTAAATGGGTGCAATCGGGGTAAGAACCTTTGGAGGGGAAGCAATGCTTTTGTTAAGGAGCTTTGCAAGTCCTGGGTTGTGTGAGTTGCTGCCAGTTCAGGACTGTTGTGGTCTAACAGAGAGCCCAATCTGGCATGGCCCCTCACCTTGGCATCACTGGCAGGTGCTACAGCCAGCTCCGCCCAGCCTGCCCCCAGTCCCAGCTCATGCTGGCAGGTGCTACAGCCAGCTCCGCCCAGCCTGCCCCCAGTCCCAGCTCATGCTGGCAGGTGCTTCAGCCAGCTGCGCCCAGCCTGCCCCCAGTCCCAGCTCATGCTGGCAGGTGCTACAGCCAGCTCCGCCCAGCCTGCCCCCAGTCCCAGCTCATGCTTGCAGGTGCTACAGCCAGCTCCACCCAGCCTGCCCCCAGTCCCAGCTCATGCTGGCAGGTGCTACAGCCAGCTCCGCCCAGCCTGGCCAGCTACCAATTCCACTCCTAATGTGAACTGGCGGATGTTGTATCCCAACCCATGCTGGCCTGCATCTCATCCTGACTCTCATACCTGCCACTGGGTGTTGCATGCCTGCCCAGCTTGGCTCACTCACAGGTCTAACCCACACGAATGCTAATGGGTATTGTAGCCCAGCCTGGCCTAGACTGCTGCCAGTCTCGTTTCCTCCGCACACCAGCAGGGGCTGTGTCTTAACATGGGAGTTCCTGGGGCCCAGCACAATGGCTCAGTGGCTAAATCCTTGTGTCGCAAGCACAGGGATCCCATATGG